GAATCTGCACAGAAGCCAGGTGTCTCTCACACAAAGCAGGTGGGTCGATCTGAAGGGCCAATCTTTCAATTACTCAACCACTGTGCCACCAAGGCCTCCTGCCGCACGGTCGGTTGTCTTCAGTAAGTCTTCTCTGTGTAAGTAAACATCTCTTGTCTATGCCGACCCCAGTGTGAGCCATTGTGGTAGCCGGCAGCATGGTCGCCAGCCTGCTCTGTTCTGCCTGTGAACTTTCCTCTCTGGTATCAGGTGGTGGGATGGTTCTCTCACCACATCATGCAGGAATGGGGAAGTAAAGGAGGGGGTCCCCAAAGGGGACTTCTGTCACCCCTCCTATAGGCTGAACAGCCTAGAGTTCCTGCCAAAAGAATCTTCTTGCTTTATCAAAGTCTTCAGAAAAAATAAAAATAAAAAAGAAAGATGTCCTGATTTGAACATCTCATCCTGTCCAGCAGGGTGCATGCCAGGAATGGCTTAGCTCATTCGACCGGAGCTCAGTGCTAACAGAGGGGTCAGTGGGCCCCACCGCTCTGTGAACCACTAATCTCTATTCCCCAGAAGCTGCAGACGGAACAGCAACCAACCCAGGGGGCATCCCAGTGGGCGTACCCAAAGGCTGACAGGACAGGACCATAAGAATGGCCAGGGAAGGGGTGGCTATGACTGTCCTCAGCAGACGGAGGGTCACTACCACACCTCCTTGGCCATAATCATGCCCCAATCCACACAGCCATGCAGCCTCTGCAGTCGATCTCCCTGCGAGGCTCTCAGGGACCCATTCTGCCTGGACCCCTGAAGGTGACAGTTCTGCACTGCACCCTGTCCGCACTGCAGGTAGAAGGGAGACAGAGCAGTCACCTGGAGGGGGCTGGTGACGCCTCGCTTCCCACTGCAGCAGGATCCTGCCCCGCCCCCACAGATGCAGGACCCCAGGGACAGGCTGCATTCTGAGCTTCCTTCACCTACAACATGCCACCGTGACTGTGACAGTCAAGGGAACCCAGTAACCAGAATCTGGAGACCCAAGTGAGCTGAGCAATTCTGACTGCGGTACGGCAGCGTGTTCAGGGGCTCGCCTGCTCTTGCCGGCGCCAGTTTCAAAAGCCTGCCTCTCCCCACTGACCGTGCTGCATCCTTCTATGTCTTCTCTGTCTCTGAGCCACCTAAGAGGACCCACCTGGACCAGGTCACAGCATGAGCTCCTCCCTCCTGGGCAAGTAACCAAGCACAGATAGATGACCCAGAAATGCTGCGGGACTGGACCTAAAACTGACAGCCTGGGCGTACTCAACACAGGAAGTCATTTGAGACCAAAGCCTCGCCCCTCCCTGGCACTCTGAGGGCCTGACCACAGGACCTCACAAATCTGTGACAGGGACACAGACACAGCATGGGAGGACGGCCTCCTGTGTAGAGGGTCTGCCCACCTAGATGGTTTGGTCACCAGATTGGGCCTGCATCAGCTCACCCGACAAAGGGTAAGGGGAAGGGAGGCAGGAGGTCTTCAAAGGAGCCCTGGTGGCACAGTGCTTAAGTGCTGGGCTGTTGATTGAAGGTCTGACAGTGCAAACCCACCAGCAGCTCTGCAGGAGAAAGGACTCGGCAGTCAGCTCCCAAGACGAAGGCCGCAAGGATCCCAGGGCTCCTCTACTGTCACACGGTCTGAACTGGAATCATCTGGACGGCATTTAACAGCGGAGCTCCTCGGGCAGCAGGAGAGGACCAAGACCCCGTCCCTGCAGCACGTGCTAACCTGGACCTCAGAATGACAGCAAGGTCCTGCCTGTTCTGTGTGTAAACCCCGGGATCCCTCACAACCACTGCTGCGTGAAACAAGCCAGCGTCATGACAGAATGAACAGAAACACACCACAAGGAGACAGCCTGCTTGTGCTTTTGACACAGTATCAGTTTTTATTTAAAAACATGCTAAAAACATGGTGTTAAATAAAGCCAGGACCAGGATGAAGGAAATGCACAGGGTCAGCACTGCAAGCAGAAAAGTGCGTTTGATGCCCACAAGCGTGCTCTCCTGATCTGCGGGCAGGGTGTGGGGAGGGTCCCCCGAGGCCTCCCCTCCCCAGGATCCCCTACCAGGCAGGGAACCAGGCCTCACTCTTGACGCCTGGTCACTGTGGTGGAGAGAGAGAAATGGACAAATGTGAAGCCAAGGAGGCTGGACAGACAAGGAGTGACCCCAAGCACTTGGCTCCCATCCTATGCCATGTCCCTGCGAGTTAGCACCTCCACCAGTGGGTGGGCAGGGGGCTGGAGAGGAGAGGACACCACACTCATCCACCTGGATTGCTCCTTGATTGCCAAACAAGGACGGATGGCCACTTCATTCCAAGTCAGAGCCAGACCATCTCTTGAGAGGGCCTGGGGTCCAGGCGGAGTCAGCAAACTCGCCTGAGTGCGTCCAGGATGCAGGTCCAAGCCTGCAGGGATGGGCCACAGTGATTCAGATCTGAGTGCAGGGCAGGCAATCGAGGGCCAGTAGGGGTGAAGGCTTGTGCCCACCTCCCAGGAACAGTTCTTCGCCCTGTGAGAGCTCCACAGGAAAGGCCCAGTCTACATCAGACATTCCGTCAAGTTGCCTGACAATCCCAAAGGACTTCTGAATTGAGTCTGTAAATTGCTTGCCTCAGATCTGATTGAATTAACTGACTTTGGAAGGAAAGCTGAGAGTGAGGGAATTTGCCCAGTTAATTCTGCCCCAATGTGACCCAAGTCAGAAGAAGCTGAGAAGACCCTGATCACAATCACTGGGCCTTCCTACGGGGCACGGGGACCATCTGCCCACCGAGACTTCAGCCCAATGCAGACTCAGCCAAATAGCAACCAGACACAAACAAATGAGGCAAGAGGCAGTTTAGGGAACTGTGGATAAGACTCCACACACAGATGGATGAGATGGGGCCTGGGGGTTAAAAGGGGGCTGCGGGAAAAGCTCTGGGACCAGAGAATGTCCCTGAAGCCCTCTAAAAACACACGTTTGCCAGGAAGGTCATCTACCCCCACAATGTACTAGGCTTTTGCTGCTGATTTGAACAGAAAGGGAAAATTGCATTGATAGGCATGAACAAACCCACCCCTTCCCACCCACAGCAAAGACCACCATGCACCAGGTTCCACTGTGTGGCCTGATCATTTGTTTGATAAATGTCTCTGAAGTAGCATTTCTACTCCATCTCTGCAGTTTGGGGCTCAAGGGAGGCAGTGGAAGCTCCTTACCAGGAAGGCAGGCCAGAGGGTGTGAGAAGGCAGTTCTGCTCCATGGGCTGACCCCCCTAGATCCTGCCTTCTGGGTGCTTCTCATCTGCAGCACCACCATTCCCCTCTCAGGAGCAGACCTGGACCTGTCCAGCTCTCTGAGATCCACCCTATCTCCACCGCTTACCCTAATCCCCCCAAAAAAACCATGAATCCTGAATGCACCAAAAGTCCTATACTCCTGGTCCCAATCTACACGTTATTTAAGGTGAATGGATGAGTTACTGGTTGGCTGGATGGCTGTGTCCTGGAAAAGGAAGATGGAAGTTGGAGAAGAGATCAGGCCCCAGTGGCAAAGCCAGGTGAGGAGCCCAATACTACAGGGAAAAAGACAGCTGCCCACACACAGTCCTGGTCACTAAAATGCCACGGGATCTGAGCAAGATGCACTAACATTTTTAAGCTCAAGTCCCAAGGGTTCTTGGGAAAAAAAACCCCACAAACCCTTCAAGATGTCAAACGAGGGCAGCCTCAGTCTGATCCTGCTGCGGGTGGACGTCCCACCCCACGCCACTTGCTTGTGTCACACATCAGGACTTGAGATGCTGCCTCTGAGGGACAGTTGGAACTGAGATGCAGCCTGCCTTCTGCCATTGGTCCTCAGGGTCACTCAGGGTCTGATCACCAGCTACCCTCTGAGGGAAGCCCCCTCCCCACTGCTGAGATCACTGAGGCAGGAGGAGGGGGAACATGGGTCCTGAGACCCGCAGGCCAGCTTATACCCCTTCGCAGGGGGGCAATCAGATTGAGAGACTCTGGCTGGGAGGATCCTGGGTGCCACTTCCACCTCCAGCCTCTAGTGGTCACGAGTCCTTTGCCACCATCCGAGCGGCCAAACTGTAAGGACCGCTTCTCCTTCCAGAAGCCATGTAGGAAAAGTGAGCAGCATCTGAACTAGAGAGGTATTTGTCTTGAGAATCGCTGGCAGGAATGTCTGTGAAAGTGTCGGGTTTGCAGAACCTGGTGCGGGAATGCCCGCCTGGGGTGGAAGGGGAGCCTCCTGTACTGGCTGCAGGCAGGAGGTCAAAGGGAAAACACGCTCATTATGAAAAGTGGAAGGACCCATACCCACTCTGGCCGCATTCCTGGCAAAAATGCTTAACTGCCCCCTTGAAGAGCCCCTCTCCCCTCACTGCTCAGGCCTCTCACTCTCGGTAAACGATCCTTTTTCATGCTTGCCTCGTGCTCCTCGACTTCAACCTTCTTGCCGGCTCTTCTGCCCTGTGCAGAGTCCCAGTCGCAGGCCAGAGAAGCCACCTCTGTGGGGATCCTCTCTCCTGGCCACTCCCCAGCCATGCTCCACGCCAGACACACGCCGTTCCTTCTCAGTGCATCTGAACAATGCCAGGCCCACGCCTTCAGAAGGCCTCCTGAGTGCGGCACAGTGGTTTGTCCTGATGGGGACTGAACAACATCCTCTCTCCCCACCTGACCCCACCCTCGGGGGGTGGGGGGTGGAAACCAAACCATTAAAGAAATCAACACAGTAAAAAGTTATAAATCAGGAAGCTAAACCCTAAATGTATCTGCAAGATAATATTCTTGAATAATCATAATCAGAGTAAAATAAAATAAAAAAAGTTACACTGTAAGGTATAAAAAGGCTGGGCAAGATGCTCCCAGGGGCCTGGCCTGGGGGGTGGGCAGGCCCCTGCGCCACCAGCTCTCCCACTCACGGCCCATGGCATGGGGTGGACGGCAGTGGGCTCTGCTGGGATGGCCTCTCCACAAGGAGGGACGAAGTGTCTGTGTGCGGAAGGGCAGGGGGCAGGGACGCGTCAGCGCCGGGGACCTTCTCCTCAAGTGTGCCCCCAGTCCACCCTGTCTTCTTTGGCAAATACACAGACGCAGGTGCAGAGTCCGGCGCCCAGCTCCCCAAGGTATCTGCACACCTCCTCCTGGGCCCTCTGCCCACAGAGAAGTCTTAGGATGAGGTGGGCGGGAAGGAGAGGGCTGGCTGGGCAGGGAGGTGGGCGAAGGGTCAGCAGTCTGGAGAATGTGGGCAGGCGACACAAAGCTCAAATCTTCTTCCCTCATACAGTGTCCAGGTGGAGGGCTGGGGCGTTCCCAGCCACTTGCTCACGCATCGTACTTTTTACCCGTCCGGTGGATGTGTTGGAAGAGGGTCATGGAGAAGGCCATGCCCAGAATCTGAAAGACACAGAGGAAAAGCCTTAGATGCAAGGCCTGGTGGCCTGAGATCTGAGCTAAGTCTCCTAAGTCTTTGCGGTCTCACAAGGTGACTAGAGCAATAGATGCAGCCACTGGGGAGGCTTGAAAAATGGTGAGCCTTGCCATTACGGAATCTCTGGATTAATAGGTTAACATGTCTGGCTGCTAGGTGAAAGTTGAGAGGTTCAAGTTCACCCAGAGGCATTGGAGAAGGCCTGGGGATCTACTGAGAGAATGAGGCAAGGAAGGCCCTGAAGAACACAACAGGTCTACTCTGATGCACATGATCTCTGGTGACCTAGTGGTAAGAAGCTGCACTGTAATACTGAAGGCAGCGGTTCAAGGCCACCAGCTGCTGCCTCTGGATACCGGCCGGAGGGTCAGCTATGGATTGGTTCTGACTCTACAGTACACAACAATAACAACTCTGACACACTTGAACTTGCCAGGAGTCCAAATAGACTCCATGGGTTGTTTTGCAATGGCAATGACCAGCTCAGAGTCACCCACAGATGACCTGTGACAGCAAATGGCGGCTCAGCCCCTCCAAGCTGTGTCAGAGGTTCGGTTTCCCCATCATAAAATGGGAACGAAATGACCCACAGCGGGAACTATGAGACAAGAGTAAGAACAAACACACAAAGTGCCGCCCTCAATGGCAGCCAGCAAGGAACTCAGGAGGGAAAGAGGAATTGGAAACCACGGCCAGCGCTTTCTCAATGGTCCTGGGATTTCTCCAACTGCAGCAGATGTGGCTGGCCGATTGTGCTGGTTTTTTTTGTTGTTGTTATGAAGTGTCATTGACTCAATTTCGACTCATAGTCACTCTGGGGACAGAGCTGAACTGCCCCGGAGGGTTTGCTATGCTGCAAATTACTAGGTCTTACAGAGCTGCTGGGGGGTATTTGGATCACCAACCTTTCAGTTATTGGCATCTGAACACTTAACTGTCTGGGCCACTAGGACTCATGCTATTCTGAGCTGAGGACTGATCAGTACTGTCTGGGTCCCTTCACACCCTGAATCCTGAATGCGGTGATGACCAGAGAAGTACTAAAGCCTAGAGCACTAGAATCCACAGTGACAATGACAACCAGGGGACACTGTGCATGCCCTCCATGACCCGTGTGGGTCACAGCCTGGGCCTACAGGAGGGGGAAAGCTAAGTGGAAAGGTTCTGGGCTGGGTTTTGTTGCTCATCACCGTGCATGCATCTCACAAAACCTCTGAGAATGAGCAGGCAGGTCTATGAGCTTTGAACACTGACATCAACCTCAGATATGACCAGGCCCTCATGATCCAGAACCTGGTTAGAAAGACAGCTTCATGTAGGATGTCAACCATATTCCCATGGACCACTCAAACTCAACTGTTCCCAAAGCAATCAGACACTGGTCACCAGGGGGAGGGGCCAATCCAAAAGGCTTGGCGAACAGGGAGCCCAGCAGATGCTCTTCACCTTGGGGTGACCTCTGTGCATTTTTCCAGAGAGCTTAGGGGGCTGCAGTTCCCACAGCCATGATGACCTAATCTTCAAAGAGGAAGGCAAGCACCCCTCCACATTCCTATCCATCAACTGAGCTGTGACTGCTGTCAGCTGACAGGGAGTAAAGCCCCCAAAACGAGGTGTCCCATGCACAACAGAACAACAGGTTGCCTTGTCCCGAGCCGTTTCCATGATCAGTTGTGGACAGACAATTGTGTTCCACTGTCTGATCGACAGGCCCAGATCACCAGGCCTTTCTTCCTAGTCCATCCCAGTCAGGAAGTTCCATTGAAACCTGTTTAGCGTCAGAGCAACACACAAGCCCCCCTGACAAGTGGGTGATGGCTGTGCACTAGCTACAATGGCTGGGAACCAAGCCCAGGTCTCTCACAGGGAAGGTGAGACTTCTACCACTGAGCCACCACCTCTCTCGTGGACTGTTAGGCCCTTGAAAAGACTAATTGCTAATTGAATAGCTACAGTAAGCTAGCATGTCCTGACTGCTATTTATGTGCCTTCTACTGCCTTTGATGCTTATGTTTAATTAAACTCACTCAATGCTAAGACTGGAAGCAGGAGTGCATCCACATCCTAAATAACATGCCTCCAGAAACTCTAGGAACCTTGATAAATGTCGACAGTTGTAGAGGGGCTTCAGGCCTTTTGTTCATAGGGTCGCTATGAGTCATGCTCGAGTTATCAATATCTTTATACATCTTATGTTTATTTATCTTCAGACATTGGAAACATTACACATAAATGTTGACTGTCATCGAGTTGAACACGACTCATAGTGAGCCTGTAAAAAAAAGGCCTGAAGCTTTCTTTTTTAAATGCTTGAAGCCTTTCTACAACTATCATCACTTATCAAACTTCATAGAGTTTCCAGAGGCATGTTGCTAAGGAAGTGGATGCCACTCCTGCTTCCAAACCTGTCTTAAACTGGGAGCTCCACCAAACACTGTCCACCCTGGGTAACCATTATAGCATTTGACCTCCCCAACGGCACAAGGTTCAGCATCACAGCAACCCCAAGTTACCTCAGGACAGTATATTGACAGAAGAGTGATGTACCACTTAGAAGAATGTTTCTCCAAAATATAATAACAACCAAATTTAAACACAAAGACCCTCCCCGAGGCCTTGTTGACTCTAAACAAGAGACTTAAATAAAAACAACCAATATTGTATGTTATTGTTATGTGCTGTTGAGTCGCCTGCAATGTATAGTGACCCTATGTACAACAGCTCTGAACCCTTCCCTGTGCAGATATATTTTAATACATGTTATTCAATGTTGTCAAGTTGACTACAGCTCCAGTGACCCTATGAACAATAGATTGAGACTTTACCATATTAATACATACATATATATATTGTTGTTATATGCCATCAAGTTACCTGCAACTCAAAGTGACCCTATGTACAACAGCTTTGAAGCCTTCCCTGACCTGAACCAGTCTCACTGACTCCAATACACCTACCCCCCATAGCCCCAGTCAATGTGTCAACCAATCTCATCTGGAGTCTTCCTCTCCTGCTCTGTCCTTCCACCCTTTCGAGCATGAGGTCCCTTCTCCAAGGACCGGTCTCTCCTGGCCACATGCCCAAAGTATATGAGACAGAGTTTCAAAATCCTAGCCTCCAAGGAGAAGCTTGGTTTCACCCTCTCTAAGATAGACATATTTGTTTTCTTGGCAGTCCACGGTATGTTCAAGACTCTCTTCCAGCACCACAACTCAAAGGCATTGATTCTTCTTCTGTCATCCTTAGTCACTGTCCAGCTCTCTAATACAGACATAAATCACCAGCAAAAAGATGTGGAAACAAACAAAAAAAAATCCCACTGAGAGTCCTAAGAATTGTCCATCGTAACTCAAATATGACAGAGCTACAGGTCCAAGGTGAGCAGCCCCTGTAAGCTGAGGACCTTACGTTAAAAGCACACGTACGTTACAGGCCACACCCACCACTGCCACATTCAGATGAGTGCCAGAGGGGCTGGTTCTGCCAAGCAGGTCTAGATCAGCATCTCACTAGAAGGTGCCTCCAGGACACGGCTCAGGAGGCAGCACAGCACAGTCAGTAAGCGTGTGGATTCCAGGGGGGCCCAGTGGTCACGGCTTGGCTCCTCTGAGCACTAGCCACCTAGTTAACAGCTTCACGTTCTGTTTCCTCCGGGGACTGAGGCTCAGGACAGGCCTCTTACCTGCATGATAAGGATGCACATCCCCACTGTGCCGAGCACATGCTTGTTGTCGTCAAACCACATCTTCACCTTCTCGTAGCAGCCCTGGGGAGTGAGCACCGCACGGTGACGGCCTGGACAGGACGGTGAGCACCCACTCCTGCCCTGCCCCCACCTCACTCCTTCAGCCCCTGCCCCGTTCTTACCTCCCACCCCACCCTGACCCCCAGCCCCTGGTTCTCACCAGCCGCCAACGCACAGCGTCATCAGATTCCAGCCCTCCCTCCTTCACTGGTTCTTCCAAATGTGGGTCCCGTTTCCTTTCTCTTTGGCTTCCAGCAATGTGTGACCCCACCCAGCCCACATTCAGTTGTTCCCTGGTATCCTGCCTTCACCCCTTGCCCTAGGTATCCTCCTGCCAGATCGCCTACCACATGGCCTCTGGGGGGCATGCCGTCTGGGAGCCAGCCTCACCGTTTTCCACAGGGGGGTGGTGGTGTTCCGCCCACAGCCCTGCGAGTTCTCCATGCAACAGCGGTCAGGAACCGTGTTCTCCCCCAGCACCGGGAACCAGTCTGTGTAGTCGGTGACGCCGCAGCACCGCATCTGCCAGAGGGGACGGGGAGGGGTGATCAGAACAGACCAGGGCAAGGCCCCGCACCTGTGAGGCTTCTGGGCAGCAGACGCAGCGCCTTCTTCTCAACCCTTCTTTGTGGAACTTAAGTGACTGCTCCCTCCTCCCTCACCAGCACCTCCAGCTCTTTGCTCTGTGGATTCTCCCAGCTGGCTGACAACTGGTTCTCCACCGGCCCCTTCCAAGTGCTTCACCTGGCACGTCTGGGGCACATGCACTTGCACAACCTCTTTTTCTAAGCCAGGTATGATCAGAGGAACAAATGTGCTGCTAAGATAAAGTCTGTCCCTCATCTCAAAACGAGCGATAAGAAAGGTTGGGCTGGCCCTCCCTTTGTGCTCAGGGTTCACTCAGACCTGTCCGCTGCCGTACCCAAGCCCTGCTCAACCGCCTCCCTCTTCATCCTCGCTGCTGACCAGTGAGACCCACTGTTCCTCGTCGGCACCAGCAATACCGGTAAACGTCCCAGTGGGGCTGTGCTCCCACATCCCATTACATTCCTGAAGGTGCCCCAGCTGCGCCCCCCGGGCTGACCCAAGCGGCCATCCCCACCTCGGCCTGGATGATGTTCCAGGCGTTCTTAAGCCCCACGTTGTTGTCCGTGTTGTACAGCAGCAGGCCTTCCTTCAGGTCCTTCTTGGCATTCTCGTTCACCTGTCGGGGGAAGGCAGACAGGACGGGTCGACCGGGACCAGGGAACCAGGGGACCACCCATCTTCCTGAGCTGCCCCAGATCTGGCAGACAGGGTGAGCGGGGACGACCTGATCTTGAGGGGCCCTGCTGGCCCAGTGGGGTTGGATGGGCTGTGGGTTCACTCTTGCAGCTCCAGCCTGCTGCATTCCCTCATGTAGCCGCTGATGCTGAGGGGAGCTAAGCCCTGAGGACCAGGACTGTAATGCTAAGAAGTCAGGAAGACAGAGAGACCTCAGCGCACACACAGGCCCCTCTGCCACCCCCACTCCCCAAACACCTTCTCTAACGGTAAGGCTCTCCTCTGTCAAAACAGACTACCGAAAAGGTTGGCTCGGCAAATGCTAGGTATGTTTTTATGACAATTTTGGAAAATACAGCGTAGGGGCGAGAGAGACCAGTCACTGTCCCTCTACCTCTCACTAGTAAGTAACCTCACCTCTCTTGTCTCATTTCTTTGTCTCTGTAACATCAGAACAATAGTACCTACCTCATGGGGCTGATTAAGGAAAAAAGAAACACTTCTTATAAAGACCTAAGAACAGGGCTGCACGAAGGACTCACTCCATAAATGATAGCGCTACCTCTACCCTAAGTTCAAAACCAAAGGGCTGCTGGGTCTCATCCTAATAGTGCCTCTAACATTTCATATCAGAGACAACTACTTCAAGAACCCCAGGGACAGTGTTTACTCAATTCTAAGACAAGCCTGTTGTCACTGTAGAGTGGCACTGCAGGGCAGAGCAGAACCACTCCACTAAGTTTTCAGGGCTGCAATCTTCAGGAAAGCACACAGACACATTTTTCTCTCATGAAGCAGCTGGAGGGATCAAACTGCTCATATTTTGACCACGAGCCTAGCATTTAACCACTGTGCCACCAAGGTCTGCTAAGCACTTATTAAGAGACTGGATCTGGCCATTCTTGACAGAACTTAGAAGGAAGTGGGTCCCCTCAAGTTGACTGCAAACTGCCCCATGTGGGGAGATCACAAGGTATCACCTCTGTCCTCCTGAAGCCCCAGGGGCCAGCTGAGTCTAGTAACAGCTCTCCTTTTCTAAGCATCTCTAGGAATAAAAATTGTGGAGGGCCCACTGTCAGCCCCACTTGGCAGTGCCATCCGAAAAGCCAATACTTGTTCTTCCTGGTAATCCTCTAATCATCCAGTCCCGCCACCTGGTGAGTTCTGAACTCCACCTCTAAACTGACCACCAAGTGGTCACACTGCTTGAAGAGCGGTCACTAACACACTCCTTGCCAACTCTCAGCACCTTAGACCCGTCTCCTTGCTGTTGTCACTGCTGTTGTGTATCACTGAGGCTGAACCAACCCACAGCCAACCCTCTGCAGGTTTTCATAGACAATAACTTGAGACAAAACTGCCCACCTTTCTCCTCAAAAGCAGCTGGTGGATGTGAACCTCATACCTAGTCTACTTTCCGGCACTGCACAAAGTACCCAACTCTCCCCTTAACTCCAAGCTGTTCTCCTTCCTCAGGGGGATGGACTTTCCTGGTCCATTTGCCAGCCCCTGTCCTCTGCCCAGGGAAGGGACCCTGCCTTGCCCTGGCCACAGCCCCAAGGGCAAGGACAACCCTCCCTCCCTGTAGGGCTTACCTTGTCCATGTAGACAAAGAACAGGATAAGTAAGATCAGCTCTGCTAGGAGGATGATCAACAGGACGATGAAAAACTGGAAAGGAAAGATCCACACATGGGCACCTGATGGAGGTACCAGGGATGGGGTGCAAACACGATGGACGGTGGAAGTCAGGGGACAGGACACACAGAGCTAAGCATTGGTTTGTGAGGTACCGGCAGGATCACCGATTCCTGAGGAAATCAGATAGCTAGCAAAGGTAAATCATGCTGAGCAGTCAACTCAAGGATGGGAGAGATAGCTAGGGGCCAAGATAGTCAATCCTGAAGGAGTGACGTTAGGTATAGAATATTCAGAAATAATTTCCCTGGGCTCAGCGTGGAAACCTAACTGGTATTGTCTGTTGCAGTGGCCAAAGTCCAGGACACCCAGAGTTCAGAGGGCTGGGACAGGGAGTCCTACTTACACTGAGGAGGAGGCACTTGTTTTCCTTGATGGCCCCCAGGCAGCCGAGGAAGCCTGTCACCATGACAATGGTGCCTATGGCGATGACTAGGTTGGCAGCAGACAGCGAAGGGAAGCTGGGGGAGAAGGTGGCAAAGTTGCCTTGGGACACGGACAGCCAGATGCCCACTCCAAGCAGCCCGCAGCCACAGAGCTGGAGAGAAAGGAAAACCCATTAGACAGATTACTCTTGGCTTCATCACCATGGAACCCAAATGCCAGCATTTCTTCTGTCCCCAAGGCTGAGACACAGAAAGTGCCTCCTGGTCAGAAGTGGTGACCTAGAGTCTAGTCACAAGCCAAAGACATGGCAGCTCTGTGACCTGGAGAAATTCTGTAGCTTCTCTGTGTATCCCATCAGGCAAAGGGGACAACACCAGCTTCGCAGACCTCATAGGGCCACTCTGAGGATCAAACTACAAAAGACATGGCCAAAACCATTTTTTAAAATTTTAATTATTTTTTAATTGATATTTTAATGAAGGTTTACAGAAAATTTGGATTTCTAGTCATTCATTGTTGCACATTTTCCTCCCTGCCCTCCCAGTTCACTTTTCTCTTTAAAAAGATTCTCTCATTGTTGCACAAGTTCTTCTCTCCCACCCCCGCCATCCCCCGAGTCCACTTTACTATGCATCTCTTATTCTGGACTACTGTCATGCAAATAACACCTAATCTTATATTTCTTTTAGACAGTTCTTTCCTTCATGCCCATCAACAAATAAATGGCTAGAGAAACTGTGTTATATTCACACAATGGAATGCTACACAGCACTGAAAAACAAGGAACTCATAAAACATTAAACAAAATGAATGACTCTGGAGGATGTTATGCTGAGTGAAATATCTCAGTTACAAAAGGACAAATACTGCATAATGCCACTGTTATAAAACAGGACTGATTTGGGGGCTGGGGAGAAACTAAGAAAAGAAGAGATAAACAATGAACACTGCCAAAAGCATTTTAAAGGTAAATCTAAAGTATTGGATACATATGAGTGATTGAGATTATTCCATTTGACAGAGAAGGGGCCCTGGATGCTGAAAAGTGGCCAGGGGAAGAAGGAGCAGGACAGCAGGTAATGACTTGACTCTGGAGTTGGGAAGATCTGTCTCCTTCTGCTCTGACCAGAGGGCCAGTAGTCTACTGTTCTCAGAATTCAAAGCACAAATGTCACACATGTGGAGAGAGGAACACGGCCTGCTGGCTGAGGGGCTGGCTGATGTACAGGACATGGACAGAGTCACTCACCGGGCCCATCCAGCTCAACCAAATGAGCAGCCCCCATTATCGGCCCGAAATCCAATTCTCCTCAACAGCACTCCTGGGACTGCTGACGCCACCAGCTCCACCTGGGGAAGCTTCGGTTTCATTGGCTGCAAATCTCCACATCTGCTTTATTTTATGCTCGATATAGCTGACACGCACTCCACGAGCTCAGGGGAAGTTTGCTGAGTCCGAGGAGCCAATCAATCAGTCAGCCAATATTTTATTGAGTACCTACAGTTGGGGGATTCTGTGCCAGGAGAGCTACACCCACTTCAGAGCCCTGCCTTCTGGGAGCCTCCACTCTGGTTGAGAGAGGCCTGGAGCAACAGGAAAAACAGCATCCATCGCCCAGGCAGTATACGCTGGTACCAAATAAATGCTCCAGCTTTCAGAGAAAGCAAACACTGTACCAACAGTGCAGCAATGCTGACTGGAGAGAGCTCTCGCTACAGATCGTGTGGATCTGGGGCAGGAGGGATGAGAACTGTCCACATGGGCAAGAATAGACAGCAAGGGGTTGGGAATCACAGATGTGGATCTGATTTTCGTCGCTGTTGTTGTTGTTGTTATGTGCCATCGAGTCGTTTGTGACTCATAGTGACCCTATGTACAACAGCCCAAAGTCTGCTCTGTCCTGTGCCAATCACACCGTCTCCGATACACCCATCCCGATTACGCCAGTCACTGAATCAAACCACCTCATAGAGGGCCTTCCCCTCCTGCGCTGTCCCTCCACCCTACCAAGCATGATGTCCTTCTCCAAGGATGGGTCTCTCCTTACAACATGACCAAAGTATGTCAGACAAAGCCTCAGAATCCTTGCCTCCAAGGAGCAGCCCGGTTTAACCCCCTCCAGTATGAATCTGTTTGTTTTCTTAGCAGTCCATGGTACCCTCAATACTCTTCTCCAACACCAAAGCTCAAAGGCATCAATTCTCCTTCTATCCGCCCTACGCACTGTCCAACTCTCTGATGCCTAGCAAGTGATTGCAAAGACCATGGCCTGTATCAGACACACCTTAGTCTCCAGAGACTATTGTTCTTCAGTACTTTGGAGAGGTCCCTAACTGCAGACTTTTCCATCGCAATACGTCTTTTAATTTCCTGGCTGCTGGTGCCAAGAGTGTTGACTAGCAGACTAAAGCTGTGAACAATCTCAATCTCTTCACCATCCGTCCTGATGCTGCCAATTGGTCCAGTGGTAAGAATCTTTTGTCTTCTTGACACTGAACCTCAATCCATATTGGAGGCTGCAGTCCTTGACCCTCTGCAGCAAGCGCTTCTGTTGATAGATCTTACACCAATCTTGACCCCACATTTCTCCTCAGAGGACCCAGCCTCCCAGATGATCTGTTCTGCATAGTTTGAAAAGGTATGGAGACAGGATACATCCCTGGCGTACGCCCTTCCCAATTTTGTACCATGCACTGTTTTCCTTGCTCTGTTCTGATGACTGCCTCTTTGTCCAAAAATAGGTTTCACATTAGCATAATCAAGTGTTCTGGGATTCCCATTCTTCTCAGAGTCAGCCACAGTTTGTTATGAATCCAACCTCCAATGTTCTGATCAGCGGCAGAGTATGTTAACCATCAGCACCACCAGAAACTCTCGATTTTGACAGAGGACGCAAACATCATATAAGCAAACACTTAGTAGAATGTCAGCCACACAGTCAAATGCCTTTGCATAATCAATGAAACACAGATAGACATTCCTCTGGTATTCCCTGCTTTCAGCCAAGAACCATCTAACATTAGTTACAATATCCCTAGTACCATGACCCCTTCTAAACCCAGCCTAGACTTCTGGCAGTTCTCTGCTGATGTGCTTTTTGGATAATCTTCAGTAGAATTTTCTTGCATGTGAAATCAATGATATTGTTCTATAGTTTCCACACTCTGTTGAGTCACCCTTCTTTGGAATGGGAACAAATATAGATCTCTTCCAGTCAGTTGGCCAAGTGGTTGTTCTCCTGATTTCTTGGCACCAGCTTGTGTTTGCTCTGCGACCTTGCAAATTCATCTTATGACAAATGAAAATAACTACTACTGACCTGATGGATTGTTTTTTGAACATAAATGAGACAAAATACGCAAAATGAGTGGCCAGTACCTGCACTGCTCACCGAAAAGGCACTGAGTACTAGAGACAAGGAGCTGTGCTGACTACCCGGGCTCCCAGGAATCAAGCACGGCCTGTTCTCAGACTGCTCACGCTCCAGGGAGAAAATGTGGATTGACTGGCCACAGTCGCACAGCGTACAAGACGGATCCGCCATGATAGAAAAGTGAGGGGACAGGCAGATGGTGTCTCCTTCATTCATCCAGTCCACAAACACAAACTGAGCACCTGCTTAGTCAATACCCAGCCCTGTTCCAGACGCTGAGGAGACCGTGGCAAACAGGGCAGTAAAGGCAGAGTCCTAGAGCGACCAGCTGCCATCTGGTCAACCCTGACTTGTGAGAATCCCCGAAGTGTCTGGGCAGGAATGTGCTCCATCGAGTTGTCAGCAGTGGACTTCCCAGAAGCAGAGTGCCAGGCCTTTCTTTAAAGGCACCTGAGAGTAGACTCCAACCTCCAATGCTCTGATCAGCAGCAGAGCATGTTAACCATCAGCACCACCAGAAACTCTAGATTTTGAGAGAGGACACAAACATCATATAAGCAAACAGTAGAATCTCAGGAGCCAATGCACCACGCAGGCCAATGGGCAGGGACGTTCCAGGACAGTGGGGGAAACGTAGGGTGGCCAGCGAAGACCTCTCAGAAAAGAAAGAGTCTGTGTAGGAACCCAAATGAAGAGGAGGGAGGGAATTACACACACACATTGAGGAGACAAGAAACAAAACAAAACCAAACCCACCCAAAACCCAACCCCACTCCCCACCCTCACTGACATAGAGTCGGTTCCAACTCACAGCAACTTTCTGTTTTCTTTCTGAGGCTGTAAATCTTTTCAGGAGGAGGCAGCCATTTTTCTCTAGCCTAGTTGCTGCTGCTGGTGAATTCGATCTACCGATTTTTCTAGTAGTATTCAGCATTCTGTACCACTAGAGTAAGTGAAGGATTTCTGAGGCGGGCATGAGCTTGGCTGGCTGAGGCAAGAGCTACTTTTCCACGGAGGATGCAGCAATCATGGGGAGAAGCCTGAGGGGACGCTGTAGGCAGGGCAATCATGGGACAGGCCTGTAAGGCTCCTAGAATAGAAAATCAGCATGCTCTTCTCTGCAGCAGAGGATGCTCCCAGAACAGGGGAGGAGCAAGGTCCAGCCATGCCTTCATTAGATGACTCTGGCGGCTGTCCGAAGATGAGACCACTGAAGGGAAAGGGTGAGCGGGGAGGAGTGCAATCGGTGACACAGGGACATCACTGTAAATCAGCGGACACGGGTGTGATCAAACTCGAGCTGGAGGCATGTTACTCCAGGACAGTCAAGGCAGAGGGGCGGAATGGTCAATTAGATACGTGAAGTCAACGGGTGCTTCCTTTGAAGAATTAGCAGGCTTGTGACAAATGGGAAAACAAGATAAAAGTGGTCCAATTTGGCGTGAAAGGGTTTTCCATGCGCTACGAAAGTAGCAGATTGTGGCTAAAATTGAGAAGAATGGGAATCCTGGAATACTTGGTTATACTCGTGTGAAAGCTATGCCTAGATTAGGAAACTGTGGTCTGAACAGAGCAAGGGAATAACACTGCATGGTATGAAATCAAGAAAGGAGTGTGTCAGGGATATATCTTCTCTTCATGCCATTTCAATTTTTATACCGAACAGATCACTGGGGAGGAGGGACTTTATGAAGAAGAATATGGCACTATTATTGGAAGAAAATGTATCAATCGTTATGCTGATCACCTGAATTATCACGATCACCAAACTTTGGTT